CAGTCCCGTAGGGAGTGGTGGGCCCGAGTGAGCCTCAGTGGGACCCCTGAGCCCCCAGGGCCTGGAGGGAGGAGAAGGGACGTGAGAGTGTGAGTGTGCGTGTGTGTTCTGAGTATGGAAAAGGAAGGGTGAGTGAGTGAGCTTGAGAGTGAGGAGGTCAGTGTGTGGTATGGGCACATCTCTGAGTGTTGTCCCCAACGCCTGCCCCTGTCCCCATGTTCTTGGCCTTTTCTGCAGCTATCTCTGTCCCTTTCTCCTGTCCCATCTGCATCTCCCCCTGCCCGTCCCTCTCCCTTCCTGTCTCTGCATCTCTCACTATCTTTCTTGCTGACCCTGGCGCAGTCTGCCTTTCCTGGACCCTCAGTGTCCCCAGGTGTGGGATATGGGTCCTGCCGTGAGCCCCGTGGAATGTACCACAGCCCCGGGGGATGGCCGCTCGGGCCTGTCCCTGGCTGTGCCAAGTCTGTCCCTGGCTGTGGGGCCCGACACAGAGGAAGCAGGACAGGGAGGGGTGTGTGAGTGCAGGGCCAGCAGAGGTCAGTGTCAGACTGTAAGGCCGGTCCCACCTGGTCTGGCTGTTTGGTTGGCACAACCCTCAGAACCCTCAGTGGCTGCACGTTGCTAAGTCCTGTGGCCAGTGAGAGCCCTGCTGACCTGTGGACGCCAAAAACCTGTGTAGATCCTAGCAACACCTAGGGTGACCCTGGGCTGACCCTGTTGACCCTGGCTGGTCTAGGCTGACACTGGCTATCCAGGTGGTCCAGCTGACCCTGGACAGACCCTGACTGATTCTGGCCTGATGGGGCCCACGTGTGGTGGGGGCTGGAGTGTTCTGCAGGCCTTGGGGACCTTTCTGCCACCACAGGGCCCTCTCAGGCTCCAGCGCCTTGCCCAGGTCTCAGGCCCCAGGCCCATCTGGCCAGGTCTCTGTTTTCGGGCCTGATTCTCGGAACAGCAGTCTCTGGCCGGGACACCTGGGCTGGGCTGCACTCACAATGACTCAGCCTCCCCCTAGGACTATTTTGGGTGTTCAGCAGGTGAAGCCTGAGAAGAAAGAGAAAAACAAGAGAACACAAACACCATCGCCTCCTCCCTACCCCTGTACTGGGGACCCTCAAGGGTGGGGGCTCTGCCTCAACCCACCTGGGCCCTGGAAAAGAGGAGGCCAGACATGGGGTCCTGACTTCACCCTTCATCCAGTGCCCAGACCAAGAGGGTCATGGATCACCTGGGAGGCTCTCTCTCCACCATGTGGGTCACTTCAGATGAGGGTCAGGACTAAGAGCCCAAAGCATGGGAATAGAACTCAAGACCTAAGTGTGAGGCCGGCCATGAGCCAGGGCTCCAACTCAGAGTAAGTGGGCATCGACTCAGGATCTGACCATGAAATGAACACTAGGTCTCAGTTTTTAGGACAGGGGCTCAGTGGCCAGGAATTGGGATTAGTGACCAGGAGCAGGGCTGAGTGACCAGGAGCAGGGCTCAGTGACCAGGACCAGGGCTCAATGATCAGGACCAGGGTTCAGTGACTAGGGCCAGGCTCAGTGACCAGGACCAGGGCAGAGTGATCAGGACCAGGGCTCAGTGACCAGGGCCAGGCTCAGTGACCAGGACCAGGGCTCAGTGACCAGGACCAGGGCAGAGTGATCAGGACCAGGGCTCAGTGACCAGGGCCAGGCTCAGTGA